CTCTTCAATCTGTCTATATCTCTGCAAATCCCACTGGTTTTTCTCACCGGGCTTATATACTAAAAAAAAAGTGGGTGCCTCGAACAAACTAGAGTTGCCTAGGAAAATTCATGACCCTTCGAGAAACTCCAGCGCGCATGCTCCCAGTGTCGCATGACTTCCGCTGTTGTAACAGTATGCTAATTGTTTTCAATTTTAGGATGCCATCAATTAAAGCTTGTCTGTTATCCATGGGAAAGGTGTATGTCAGTAAAATGGCCTTTGATATATTTTTTCTCTTGCAATCATTTTGTGAACTTCATTATTTCATTATTGTTATTTTCTCTCCTTCAGTGTATTGAAACTCTGATAGAAAATGGCAGCCACGTGAATGCCAGAAACCTCAATTTTGATACACCTTTACATCTTCTGGTGCAGTCAAAGGAAACTCTCTCTTCCATTATTTGTCTACTGAGTCATGGTGCAGATGTGAATTTAGATGGTTCTGAAGGGGAAACACCACTCCATTTAGCAGTAAAGGTATCAGTATTCATATGAAAACTGTAGATATACATTAAATGGATTAAATGCAAGTAACAGGCACAGTTTATTGTCTCAAGCAGATTAGTATGGCTTATGAACAAAGCCCAACCTAAATATAAATTTTTAAATCAATCTTATATTTTATGTAGATTATGTTGAACTCTGAAAAGTTTATGTGATCTTCATCTCAGAAAATTGTACAAAGTATTCAACTCAGTTTTCAATACGTGAATAAACATCTGTAGAAGCTACTTATGTTCAAAGTAGATTCATTAACTCCAGTTTTGTTTGTTATGCTTTCATTGTGCAAAATGTTTCTGTGCACCATTTGTGAGTGCATTATAATACCCATTGTATTTTTATTGAAATATACGTGTAAAACTGTTTTATAACTGCACATGTAGAAGATTCTTCTTACTTGTACTTGTGTATTAATTTTTTCTTAATAATTTAGTATTATAAATGAACTAAACATTGTGCTTTTAATCAAGTTTAACTGTGTTCACTATAGACAGGCTACCTGCCAACTGTACATGCTCTGCTTTCATTTGGAGCCAATGTGAATGCAGTCAGTCACCGACAAGAAACTCCACGTCACCTTGCTGCCACTACTGATATAGAGGGTAAAGAATTGTTGATATACACGCTGAATGCTGTTGGGGCAGAACGTTGCTCTAAACACACCAGAAGCTGCAATGATGGATGCTCACCTCGTGGGACTTTCGATGGAGTTCCTCCTGAATGTTCAAATCTTTCAAGAAATTTAACTCGTAAGAATCACTACTTCTTTATTATCATAATAAATGTTTCATGTTAGTAAAGGTATTTTTTTTATGTGCAGTAACATTCTTTATACCTTAGATGTATACATTTGATAATAATACTCAAAACATTAATGAGCAGTTTTACCTAAATCTGTTTTACATTGTAATGCCCAAGATGTCTTAACATCAAGATACCTTTTGGCCTATTAAGTATGTCCTAATTTCCAAACCCCCTCAACATACAGAAAACTAATAGCTACATACAGTCCTTATCCTTCAAACATTAATCCACTCTTTACTTAAACTCCTGGAAAATTATATTCCAGATGGTAGCTTGTTCCACGGAATTACCACCCTAT